GGCCGGGCGCCTAAGCTGCCGCGCGCGCTACTCCGCCCCGCCCGCCCGCGTCCAATCCGGGCCCGCCGCCGCGCCAGCCCGCCCAATCCGCGCCCGCCGCCGTGGGCCTTCGTGCCGCCATTGGCCGAGAGGCGGAGCCACGCGGAAGCGCGCCGACTCGTGGATTCTGGTCCGCCCAGGTGAGCCGCTCCCAGGTGAGCCTTCCCCAGGTGTACCTCCTGCCGCCCCGGGTTTGGTACTGGTCGGTTCCGACTGGGTCTTCACCTAATGCGAACTCGGAGCTACCCCGGGTCACAGCTCACAACCCACTGAGGACCTGAGTTACAGCCCAACCCAGCCTGCGACTCTCAGCACGCTGGAGTCTCCCCAGACAACACCTGTACTCCAGAAGCCCCGAGTGTCGCGCTAACTCAGCCACTGCCCAACTAAACCTGTTTCCCCAAATCTGGAATCTAGTCGCACCCCAATAATTTGATGTTTCCCGTGGGATCCAACCCAATTTATAATCCACTTTTAACCACTACCAAACTGGGTGCTTGTTTCCCAAACCTAACCTCACCCCAAAAACCCCAGGGAACCTGCTTCTCACAGCCTGAATCACAATTCACCTCAGCCACAACCAACCTAGATCTTCCTGTCCTAAAATCCAAGACCCAGTTATCTGAAAATACAACACACCATTGTTGAGAGCCTCTTGTTCATTCCAGAATAAAACACCTGTTGCATCCCCAACTGTGCCATTACTGTGCTAGGTCTGAGGACAAAGCCATTCACAATAGGTCAAATCTCTGCCCTTGTGTAGCTGACATTCCAGTAAGGGACATACTACCATACAATCCACAAACTGATGAGACAATTTCATAAACTGCTGAATATAAACAAATAAAAGAGTGGCGTGGCAGGACCACTGAAGGCTGCTGGTGGAGAGAGGATGGAGGAGTTTAGAAGTGGCATCTCCGGGGATCAGCAGTTAGTATAATGGCTATGTCGCTGGACTTCCCTGTAGTCAACCACAGTTCGCATCCCAAACCCGGTGGCTTAAAACTCACGCTGGGCGCATGTGCGTGCGTGCCCAAGATCCCAAGAGAACAGAGAAGGGATTGCGGCCTGGCCATACCCCCTGGGGGGTGATTTCTCGCTTTCTGTCTCTCTGTCTCTCTCTGTCTGTCTGGCGAGTGAGCGCACGTGCCCTATAGCAAAAACCTCTCCAAAAAAAAAAAAGTGGTATCTCTGAAGAGGTGACATTGGAACTGAGACCTGAAGGAGAAGTAGAAAACTTGTCAGAGACTTAAGGGTGGGAGGCAAGGCTGTGTGTGAGGAGCCAGGGGGATGGGGAGAGGATGGGAGTGGAGTATTGAGGACAGGGAATGAGTGGGATGATAGGAGTTGAGGCCAGGGAGATTACCAGGGCTGGAGTATGTCTGGGCAGGAGGGAGGAGAGTTTGGGTTTTCTATTATGGGTGGGAGAACTCACAAGTGCCTAAGGAATAGCTACCAAACCTTCTTCCATGTTTTGACTTAATCTTTCAGGGGGGCAGCTGAGAAAAGAGGTTGTTCCAAACCAAGGACATGACCCAAGCAAGATCAGGAAGTGAAAGAAGCAGGGGGAGCCAAAGCTATCATCACCTCTTGCTCACAACCCTGACCCTGACGTGCCCCGTCAAGTCAGATTGCCCATTGATTGGAGCCCAAGCCATCAACCTGGGCTTGTTCCCACCCCACCCAACCTCACTGCCTTGAGCATCCTGTGATAGCATCTCCTCCAAGATGCATGGCCCCACCCAGCATCCCAACCCAATGCCAGATCCCCACCCACTTCTCAGGCGCCTCGGTCAAGTCCACGGAGAGATCACAGCCCACATGGGGGCCTCTGGCATCAGACAACACCCTGATTTCTCAACTTGCTTCATCCCAGCTAAACCATTCCCAAACCATGGCTGTCAATAAACATCTTGGGCTTGATGTGCAGAGATAGGTCTGACTTAATGGAGTGCCTTGAAAGTTCATCCGTCCATCCCTCGACCGACCCATTTATCCATTCAACAGATGTTTTAAGCATCCACTCGGGAGCAGATTCTTGCCTTCTGGTAGCTCACGCCAGGAAAGGAGCATAAATGATACCATGAGCTGGGTGTGACACAACAGAGGCTTCGGAGAACTGGAAGCTTCTGACATTCAAAGGGCACAGTGGCTTCTCGCCTGCCAGGCATTGCCCAGGGTTAGACTTTCAGAGTCCACAAGAGAAGCCTGAAACCTAGATCCATAAGTATGAACTGCTTAATTATTCAATGTCAGCAACTAATTCAAATTTTAAAATTGTGAGCCACGCAAAACATTTATTTTTCTTCTTTTGATGCTGTCTCAAACTTACAGAAAAGCTACACGTACAATATAAATAACTTTTTTTTTTTCCTGAACCATTCGGGCATTTTACTACACAATGTCTCACCACTTAAATGTGTTTTTCCTCCTACAGAATTACGATATAGGAAATTAACCCGATTAATTCTTTCTTTCTTTCTTTCTTTCTTTCTTTCTTTCTCTTCTCTTTCTTTCTTTATTTTAAAGAATTATTTAGGGGGCCAGCAGGTGGTGTAGTGGTTATGTTGCTGGACTCAAACATGGCCTACTACAGTCTGAGTCCAGGACTCAGTGGCTTCAAATTCACACTGGGTGCATGTGGTATGTGTGCCCAAAATCTCAAAGGGAAAATAAAGAAGAGACTATGGTATGGCTATCTCCCCTGGGGAGTGATTTCTCACTTTGTCTGTCTCTCTGTGTCTTTGGTGAGCTCATGTGCTCATACACCCTATAACAAAAATCTCTCTTAAAAAATAAAATAATTATTGGGACCAGCAGTTAGCATAATAGCTATGTTGTTGGACTCCCATGTAGTCGACTGCGGTTTGCGTCTCGGACCCGGTGGCTTGAAACTCACGCCAGACACGTGTGCATGCATGCCCAAGATCCCAAGAGGAGAATGGAGGAGAAGGGATTGTGGCGTGGCCATTCCCCCGGGGAGTGATTTCTCGCTTTCTGTCTCTCTGTCTCTCTCTGTCTGGCAAGCGCACACGCCCTATAGCAAAAACCTCTCCAAAAGTAAATAAATAAATAATGAAAGAATTATTTACCTAATTTTATTTATTATTGTTGTTGTTAATTTCCAATAGGGCACACGTGCTCCTCAGAAAGAGAATGAGAGAGAGAGAGAGAATGAGAAGGCAAGCTGCCAGGTCTAGGACTTGAACTGCAGTCAACCATGTGGGAGTCCAGAACCTTAACCACCATGCCACCTACTGGTGGCACCCTGATACATTTCTACCATCTAATCCTCAGACCTTATTTAAGGTCCAGCAGTGCTCGCTGTATGCAGTCCTGTCTGTTGAGTCTCCTTCGGTCTGGAACACTGCCGCAGTCGTTCCTGGATTTTAATGACCTTTCTGAAGAGGCTAGAGCAGATACTCTGTAGGAGCTTATCCATTTGGGATTGTCTGAGGCTTCCTCCTGATTAAATTCAGTTTGTGCTGCTTAGATTAGAGGCAGCTTGTGTATTTGTGCACCACAAACTAACACAGGAGGATGCTCACTGTATCGTAAAAGATGATGCATGATTTTAATCTGTCCCATTATTATTGTTATTATTATTATTTATTATTTTAACTACCAGAGGGCACATGGTGAATCACCAGACAGAGAAAAAGACAGAGACGAGAGACAGAAGAAGAAAGCACCCCCTAATGGGGTGTGGCTGAGTTGCAATTCTTTCTCCTCTATTACGCCATCCTATCAGGATTTGAGGCATGCACACACGCCTGCCTGGTGTGACTTTCACGCCACACCAGGATCTGAACCACAACTGGCTATGTGGAATCTGGCTCCCTTAACCACTAGGCTAGGGAGCCAGCCTGCATTATTTTTAAAAAGTTTGTTTTTATGGGACCAGCAGTTGGCGGAATGGCTATGTTGCTGGAGTCCCATGTAGTCGACCGCGGTTCAAGCTCCAGACCTGGTGGCTTAAATTCACACTGCATGTATGTGCGTGCGTGCCCTAGATCCCGAGAGGAGAATGGAGGAGAAGGGATTGTGGTGTGGCCATCCCCCCGGGGGGGGTGATTTCTCGCTTTTTGTCTCTCTGTCTCTCTCTGTCTTTCTGGCGAGAACACGCGCCCTATAGCAAAAACCTCTCAAAAAAAAAAAACACACACACACACAAAAAAACCCTTCAGATGGGTAGCTTTATGTCATGTGTGTTTTACCATAATTTAAAATTTAAGCAAGGTGGTAATGATGCTCAGTTCCCGGATTTGTATAGTGGTGTGAAGAATGTTTGCTACCTGCTCCTGCTTCATCGGCAGCCCACCATCCTCCTTCTGCACAGGTCCTTCCTCAGACTTCATTTTGTTTCACTGACTTGAGCTTCATTAAAGGCAATTTCGACCAGAAGTTGGCATAATCGTTATGTTGCCTGGCTCGACTCCCTCTCCAAAAAGAAAAAAAAAGTTTATCTTTGACTGGACTAATATGCAGTGTATGCATGCTCAGAAGTTCATTTTGTATGCTGTAAAGATGTACAGTAATTAAATGTAAAAAAGTAAGAAAAATTGGAGGCGAGCAGATGGCGTAGTGATTACGTCACTGGACTCCCCCATGGTCGATGGCAGTTTAAGTCCCAGACCTGGTGGCTTGAAAATCACACCTGGTGCGTATGCATGTGTCCGAGATCCTGAAAGGAGAATGGAAGAGAAGGGATTGTGGCATGGCCATCCCCCCGGAGGATGATTTCTCAGTTTCTCTCTTACTATCTTTGTCTGCCTGTCTCTGGCAAGTACACGTACCCTAAGGCAAAAACCTCTCATTAAAAAAAAAAAATTGTAAAGAGAGAGAGAGAGAAAGAGAGGGTGAGAAAGCAAAGCCGCCAGGTGCAGGACTCGAACCGTGGTTGACCATGTGGGAGTCCAGCATCCTTAACCACAACACCACCTGCCAGTCCCCAAGAAGAAAACTTAAAAAAAAAAAAAACCCAGCAACAAAAGTTTATTCACTTATTTCTTCCATGAGAGAAAGATGAGAGACGGGCACTCCCGATAGGACCCTCACGCTGTGCTCCGTGGTGATGCAATGCCGGCCTCAGCCAGCCAGCCCCAACCACAAGTGTGTGCACATGTGCCTGGCATGCACAGGGAGGCCCGGGACAAGAACCTGGGATCCTCCCATGTGGGTCCAGGAACGCAGCATTGCGTGACTGCTGTGCCACCAACTGGCCTGATGTGTCCCATTACTGATGAGTTAAAAATATGTATTTATTTAATTTATGTATTTATTCATTTATTTTCATCTAACCAGAGAGACAGAGAGAGAGAGAGAAAGTGGGAAAGGAAGCCGCCAGGTCTGGGACCCAAACCATGGTTGGCCACGTGGAATCCAGTGCCCTTAGCCACCACGCCACCTGCCGGCCCCCCATTATTGACGATCTTGAATAAGGCAGTGTCTTCCAGGCTTCTCCACGTCAGTCTGCTCTCTTCCCCTTTACGAGTAAATATTTCATAAGGAGATAGGCTGAGACGAGGTAAAACCCCATCACTCTTCCACCTGCCCATGTATTCACTTACTTTGTGCAGATTCATGAAGCCACTGATTTCAGTTCATTCCTGTTATTGCTTATCTGGGTGCTCAGACGGTGTCAGACTGGATCCGTGGGGAGTACTTCCTTACTCTCTAGCACGAGACATTCTAGGCTTATCTTCTACTTTATCTGTTCTAGTCTTGAAATCAATCATTTCTCCAAAGAGTCCTGGTTCCTTCCCGTGGAGAACGGTACCGAGACACCATAACTAGGTGTGCTTATTGTTACGGGGGTGTCACTGCTCCCAAATCCTCCAGGTGGACAGGGTTGTTTTCTTAAAATTTTAAAAGAATTACTTATTTATTTCATTTCATTTATTTTTCATTATTTTATTTTATTTTTAAATAATTATTTTAATTTTATTTGTTCGTTTATTTATTTTAATTTGACCTGAAAGAGACAAAGAGAGAGAGAGAGAAAGTGGAAAGCAAGTCAGTAGGTCTGAGACTTGAACCATGGTAGGCCATACGGGAGTGTATAACACCTTAACCACCATGCCACCTGCTGGTTCCCTTTTTTTAATTATTATTATTTTATTTTAATTTCACTAGAGAGAGACAGAGTGAGAGAGAGAGAGAGAAAAACTGATAAAGCAAGCTGCCAGGTCCAGGACTCGAGCCATGGTTGGCCATGTGGGAATCCAAT